ATAGCTAAAGTTTGTTCATTTAATTGCCTACACACAAACTAATGTCTCTGCTGTCACAACTTTTACAATCTATGTGAACAGTGACAGTGGGAGCTTTATTTATTTATTATTTTTTATTTTATGTTTGAGGGGAGCTCCTTTGGCGTAACAGGGAACTAAAGATTTTATGAAATAGCATGCTTAGTACTGCTTTAATGTTGGTGGCTTGCCTGGATTGGGTTTCCACACTCTTGGATGCATTCAGTAGACTTGCTGCACATTTAATGTTTATGATTCATTGTACCAAAAGGGCCAACTGTGGCTTGGTCAGTTTTATGTTTGCACTCCCCTTTAAGTCAAAGCATCTAAGTGTTTGTAAACTATCATCTCCTGTTTCTTTTAGCTTTTCCATCTCTGTCCATATATAAGCTATTTAGATTGTAATCTCTTGTTTTGACTATAAAATGTTTAGAATGCTTCCTGTGATCGCTAATCAAAATAAAGGTGAAATTATTTTTTTAATCCATCCCTCTCTTTTAGATCTATCAGGTTGTACTCGAATTCTCAATCAAACTTAAAACTGGCGACAGCTAAATATTGGTCAGGACACAATAAAAGGCATTTATGTTATGGGAAGGTAGAATCATTTACACCAACATGGAGAAAGTGAGAAAAGGGAAGTCCATGAGAGCCCTGTGTGCCCCTCGGGAGGCAGTTTCTGGTTCTCTTCCTGTTTTGCAAATACTGACACTGTGCAAAATTGGTGTGAACTGCAGCGTTTACCTCAGAGACAATTTACTGCTGTTGAAAGGACAGGTCTAGTTGTGAAAAGGTTATGCTAGATCCCATTTTTGTAAAAATAGTGGGAACCAATTAAAAAGCTTGTGTTACTGGAATGTATGAAAAGCCTGGAAGAGCAAAATTAAGTCTACATTAATGTCCTGGTAAAGTATCTGTGACTAGATAGTCTTGATATGCATAGTAACATTTTAGTGTATGTAGATCCAGAGCTTGTACTGCTGTGAGTTGGTTACATGGAGTCCTATAGGATTATCCACATTAGCCAGCACAGTAACCAGTAGCATTTGTAAGACAGGTCATGGTTGTCAAGTGTGACTTGCTGAGAGCTATTGCTAACGATAGGTGACTATATTTCTCTATTCCTTATCTAAATAGCTCTTTTTTATCCAGATTTGGGAGGTAGGTTTCAGGTGCCCTTCCTACGCAGCAAGGGTGGATGGAGATTACCTGGAATTTGGCAAAAATCTTCCTAGTATAGCAGATGACCAAGGAAATCTTGTAAAGATAGGATGAGGCTTACACTGTGTGGGGCACAAGCTATCTGAAAGTGCCCCGGAGATCATTTGAGCTCCTTATGGAAAAATATATTACCTGTAGAGGTATTCCCTGTTCCCCTACCATGCACCAGAAATAATACGTCTTTTGCAGTCTGACATGTCTGGAGAGTTTAGGAAGGAAGGGAGAGATGGGGTTCTGCTCTGAGAGCATGGACAGATGAAATGGTTAAACCTGGAGGATAGACCATCTAAGCCCCTAAACCAGAATAACTTTGCCCAATCCAGTGGAGAATTACTCCTGAAAAAAATCAGGGGTAAAATGCTACTGCTATATGTTACATGAGTTTAAATTTAATCTGTCCATGCATCCTGGAGTAGTTGTTCGCTCTCCTGTTGCCTAGTAGTGAGGGGCTGTAATAGTTCACACAGTAGGTAGCTACTACAAGATAGCCATGCATCTGTCCAATCCCGATCTCTATGTGATTTACATTGGAATACAACACTGATATAAATTATAACAGTCTGTTTATCTGCCTATGGCCTGACACTGGTTTTTGAAGCTTGATGCCCTGTTGAATGATTTCATAAAGTAACCCAGGCTGGCTTTGCATGGTGACTTGAGTTGGGTGGTACTGTTACGAACTTTGCCATTTCACCAATTAAACAATTTTTAATATTGTCAACTGTAGTTCATTATTATTTCACTTGGCAGCTGATGATGACAGCTGTGTCTTTTCATAGCACCTGATGAAGTGAGCTTGAACTCACAGCAGCTTATGCATCTCTTATTTAGTTAGTCTATAAGGTCTGTCCTGCCTTCTGCCTAGCTGCATGAAGGAAGTTGGGCTTGGCATGCCTGAATTAGCCAGGAGATGAAACCAAACTTTATAGGGACCCTGGTAACAACAAAGGAGAAAGCTTGGTGCTGTTTATCTCTCCTTTGTTTTAGGTGAGGGGAGGGAAGAAAGGGCAAGAAACTCTTCTGTAAATTGTCTGTAGGGCTTCTGTCATGGCACTTGGCAGTAGCAGGTTGCTGTATGAGTGCTCAGGTATGTGTTCTGTTTTCCCAGGTCAGTAGTCTACTTTCTCTAGCTGATTAGCACGGTCAGTTTGGAATTGCTGGTTATTTCCCTTGTGTAGCATATAGCTTTTTAACTAATATTTTTCATCATCATGCTGCTAATAACAGTTAAGAGTTCTTAATGGGCTTATTCGCAGTATCCAGTTCATTACCTTACTTACTGCCTGTGCCTATCATGGTGTTAGACATGTCATTGAATAAGGATTAGTATTGCCTAATAAAAATTAGTTTTATGGTTTGTTTGGTGTTTCCATATTTTATTTTGGTGGTTTCTTTAGTTTCTCACACCAGTAATTTTATAGGACAATGTAATTTGTGCAGGACTGAGAGAATCGAGGAGTGTTACTCTAGCTCATGCAAAGTCATGTTCATACAGATAGTGTTATTTTTTTGTTGTGCCCCTGGACAATACCTTCTCTTCCCATCCATATCATTTGATTTTTAACTGAGACATCTGGATATGAGTTAGATTAACCCCACTGTGGAATATAGGGCAGCAAATAAAACATCAAAACCTTTTAAAGATTTCTAGGTGGTTTGCTGTTTGCAGAGAGCCTGAATACAACACTGAACCCATGAAAATATGGCATTAGGCTTTTTTGGCAGTCTCTTGAATTTGTCCAAGAGCAAATACTTGTCTATAAAATAGCTTAATCCAGCTTTGTTATATTTACACATAAGGGGGCAGTATGGTACTGTTAGCTAAATACCCTGTATGTGCACTTCAGATGTTATTAAATATTGCATTAGGTTTTAAGAAATGGTTTAGAACTGTGATCATAATTAGTATTTCTGACTTGGTCTTGAGTTGCATGGCACCTACACAGTCAATAACTATCATGGTTCAGTCTTTTTTTCCTTGTCCAGACAATTCTGTTTTTCAAGCGTTTCATGCAGTATTCTTTTTCTCTCATATAATCAATGTTTATAGACATGTACAAGAGAAAATAGTTTCTTTAAAGCTAGTGTGTGGATGTGTAAATGTATAGGGGTATTTGCTCTGTGGAAGGGGGCACATTCCACCATTGCCTTCCTTTGGATAACATGTCTGTTGCCAAGTCAATGATGCTGAGTATTGTGATGTTCTCATCCTTTCCCCACCTCCATTTTTTGTAGGGTAGTGGTTCTGGCTATTTTACCTTTCCCCACCTCCATTTTTTGTAGGGTAGTTTTTCTGGCTATTTTCCAGCCACTACAACCTAACATCAGGGTAAACCTAAGTGGATGCCATGGAGAAACCAGCATAAATTTGAGTTTCTGCCTTTGAGGATATTTACTGTTACAGTCTAATTTTGTATATACACAGTACTCGGGATAATAGGCCAGCATATGATAGCATGTAGTGTTTCTTTTAATTGTAACAACATGACGCCCAGAGTGGTTTATCACACTGTGATTACTGTCCTCGTGTGTTTAGACACTTGGCTTTTAGCTTCATGCCGCATCTGAGACTTGTTGTAATAATCCAAAAATGTGCTGCCTGCAGTGTCTCTTTATTTACACCTTCTGTATGCATTTTTGCTTAGTAAAAGTCTTCTCAGAACACTCATTATGAACCCTCTCCTTGTTACATTTTGCATACAAAGTGTTTAGCTCTGTAGACTTCTGGAATAAAGTAATGTCAAATACTATTTTACTATGTTGTGTCTTGTTGTATTATCATGCTCTGGTGCTGTACGGTATAATACAAGCAGAAGGCTTCATTTTTGTGAAGCTATGTGTGCTTGTTCTTTTTTAGTACTGCTGTTTTTAATGAAATAATATACCAATAGCATGCTTATGTGAATCCACCATGATCAAATGGAAAAGGCTACTTAATTACTGTATTAGACTGTTGATCAGCTGCTATAGGTAAATAAGCATCATTAGACTCTCGTTTTGTCTGAATGAAATGAAAAAACACGCTTGAACAAATGTTTATTGCTGCTTCATCCAAAGAGCAGTGACACAGCACTTTATATTGGATGTTGCTGCTCATGAAACAAAAGATAAAATGGTGAAAGGAAACATAATTCCTTTTGTGTGCGCCTTGTGGGTGTCTTCATGGTTATGCCTCATAACTCAATATAAAATGACTAACTGAGAACGTTCCAAAACCAATATAATATTCCTCCTTCTCTCCTTAGGCTCCCACTTCTCAAATCCCCACTCTCTTCAGGAGCATGCTAATATTTCCTTAGAAAGGAACCTGGATGATATTATAATCATATCATTCTGTCATAAGTTTTCGGAAAATTTAAAGATGGGCGCTTTAGCTAAATTACAGGTCTGAACTAAAATCATAGAATGCTTTTTTTGTTGTTTTTTGTTTTTGGTTAGTGGGCAAATAAACTTGTTTTCCCCCTCCTTCCCCTCTGGCAAGCATAGGTGCACATATTTGGTTTTTGGATGTAGTGATTTGCAGCGTGGTTAATGTGTAGACTGTGCTCTTGCTTATTTTTATTTTGTATTTATTTATTTATTTTTAAAGCACTCATTAAAGACCCACGGCACACTCCCAAAACTTGAAGGAATAGATTTTTGGCTCCTGTCTGCTTTGAATGAAATCCAAAACAAATGTTGTTTGATAATGGTTTACAGTTGCATTACACAGGTTGCTGTTCGTGGTAAATAATTAATGCCCTTTGTGTTCTTGATTGCAGATTTTCAGAACCCTGCCTGATGCCACTTTCCCTGAGCCAATCTCTGTGTCGATATCTCCTCCAAATGCCCCACCAAGGCAATCAAGAAGACAAGGGCAGCGTAATAAGAGGCCTGTGGCTGTCTACAATCTTTGTCTTGATCTGGATGATGGTAAGATGTTAATTGTATTTTCCGACTTAGGGAGCAGATTGCTGTTGCTGTTATGTCTTGTGTTGTCAGGACGGTCTAGCGGAGCTTTTAATTTCTCTTTTGTATTTTTTAATTTGTTACATGAAGAAGGGCTGGGAGGGTGGAGTGGGGATTGTCATACTACACATCATATTTAAAATCAGTGTGGCAGCTTAAAGCATCAGTATTTTTTCCCCTTTCTAAAAAAGGCAGCTCTAGTTTCTTTGGGAAAATCTGTTTGACCTCTACTGAAGATTACATAACCATAAGATAAATGGAGAGAGAACTAAAATTAAAGCAGATCTTTTTATGAGAAGAGCTAATGCATTCTATTGTTAAATACATCTGGATTAAAGGCTCAGATCACCCACTACACTGCAGAATACTACTACTTGTATTTGTATCTTTAATACCTTGATGTTCAGTGGAAGTAAATACTTGCAGGCTGGTCTGGCTGGTGAAAAACAGAAAATGTGCCATACAGAGAAGTGCCATACAGCGGAGTAGGGTTTATAAAATATTTTGAGTATCCTGCTTTGGGGCCATGTGCAGTTCTGAGAAAGCAGGGTAGGTTTGTTTGTATTGCAGTTCCTGCCCACCCTATCCCCTTTCTTCTTCTTAATGGTGTTAATTAATTATCCCTTCATAGAAGATGCATTGGACCACGGAACACAGTGTAGTTATCAGGGAAGTAAACAAAGCTGAAGATTTGAACCTTATATATGAATATAGGATTTATTGATACATTGGTGAATTTGGACCACCTTAGCTGCAAAACCAAGCGGTAGAAGCAGAGTCAGCATAGCTGTGTCAGGTGGCTGGGTTTGAGAAATGACTGAAAGATTCAGCATGTCTCCAGTATTTTTCAGTTCATTTCTATCGTGCTTTTTCTTTTCTTTTCTTTTTTTTTTGCTTTCTTTCTTTCAGTCAAACTAGATACACGTCCCAGAAAGGGATAACATAGCATGTAGGTGTGCTTTGTGGCAAGATCATGGTTCAAAGACCACGTTGCCAAAAACTAACAGAAATCTTAAATGTTTTTTCCACATAAATTAATTTTCAGTTGAAAAAAAATACTCAAACGGCTGTAGTTGTTGAGCAGATTTGCTTCTGCCAACCATATGTCCACCATTCGAATGAAGGCTCTGTTTGGGCATGCAAAGAGCCAGTCGTCTTTCTCCTGGCCTACATGCACACATGTATGCACACCCACCCACATCTCCCCCTCTCCCTACACACCATTGCAGCTCTTTACATTAAGAGCCTGATTTAGAGCCCAATAAAATATTTTTGTTGTTGGCTTCATTGGGGACAGGATTTGGTCTAAAAAATCAATGATATCAGTTACAAGATAAATATTGTAGAGACTTTCCATTAATCCAGAATAATATTGTGATTTTAATTTGAATATTTTTTGAATAACGAAGAAGTACAGAGGTTAAAAATTGATTATCAGTCTGCAACAAGAAAATTCAGCACTTGCTGTGATCCTGTAGAGCAGTAGTTCTCAAACTTTTAGACTCCCAGGAGCCCTCATTAGACTCAAGGAGCCTTTTGGAAAATGCCCGCTCTTTGCTTTCACTTGTTTCTTGACTATGGAAAATGATAGAGCATTTTTTCTATTGCAGACGTTTCTAACCACTGGGCCACAGCAGGTTGCAGCAGGTGGCTGTCGGACCATGTCCATGAGCCCCCGGCTCAGCCCCCTGTCTGTCTGCCTGGGTGAGCGGCTTCTGCCACCAGTGGTGATGTGCGGGGTTAAAGCTGGGGGGCGGGGCAGTCCTGGAAGGGAGGCAGCCAGCTCCGCTGTTCCAGTGCCAGTCCACGACACAAAAAAGGTTGGGAACCACTGTTCTATTGCAAAGAAAGACCACAACAGGTCTAAACATTGTTGACGCTATGGATTCCTATTTTAAATCTCTGTGTTTATCTTGTAAACTATGTGCAGGGATGTCTTCCCTCCCCCTGCCTCCTCCCATCAATGCTAATGCACAGTACCCTGAAAAGGATCTCACAGGCTGAGATTCACTGCTATACCTGAGGTTTGCCATGGTGCTGAATTGACGTTGCATGATCACCCAATGTGATGGTATTTTAATAGGTTTTGATGAGTCCATGGTTGTCATGACTTAGATTTCACAATGTAGGACTTTGTCCTGTCAAAGGACCCATCAGTAAGGACCTACCGAAATCTAGGAGGCAGGTGGGTGATTTTGCGGGTCGATCGTGATGCGTGCCACCATTTTCATGGTTTTTTGCAGTGAGACCCCTCACCGCTGATTTGTCAAGGGGCCCTGGCAATGGCCCTGCCCCTCACCACTGATTGCCTGAATGGATTGCCATTCATGTGGTTTCACCCCTCAGTGCTGATTGGCAGAGGGGGCAGGGCTGCATGATGGGCAGCCTACGTAGCCAATCAGCAGTGGAGGAGGTGGCAGCCATCATCTTGGCTCCCTTTCTCTGTGCCGGTGGCTGTGAGAAGTGCTGGCTCCCACTGGAGAGCCAACATTTTATTTTCAGTAAGTTTGTCCCCTATCCCCAACCCCACCATCTCCTCCCCCAGTGATTCCACCAAAAATTGTGGGGAATGCCGCTTTTGTGAAAACCACCTCAAATAGAGGTTTCTGTGAAAAATGCAAAATCGTGATTTGAGTAGGTCCCTACCCATCAGTAACTTTTCACTAGGAAACTTTCAAAAATACAAAAGGTATTTGGCTTAGTTGGCTACCCAGCTGCCACTGAATTTCAGCTGAAGTTAAATGTGTACTTTCCTTTTATGCCTTTTGAAAAATGTCTTCTTTAGTATCCTTAGTTTAAATTTGAAGTTGGTAGCATTCGCTAAAGGTGCTTCAGCCCTTCTTGTTGCTAAGAATTGGTTTGACAGGTGCTACCCTGTACTGCTTGCACATTAATTTTAGTTATGCAGTTATATCAGAAACTTTTGTTGGTAGTCATTTCCCTGATTATTTCACACGCATGGTTCAGTGCATACAATAGTTCAGTATGTTTAGCCCAATTATGTCATTACAGTATCGAAATAACTATTCCCGTGGATTGGCTATACAATACATACCTCAGGCAGCCTGATTAATTATCTACTCATTGGTTAGACTTGAACAGCTCCAACTATGCTCTGCAAAGTTTTTTTTTTAGGCGAGGAAGACAGAAGGAATAAGAAGTGTGACTGGGCTTTAGTCCATATTTACCTAACTAGTTGGCTAACAAATACATGTTTTATAACTGCTCTGGAAAGATTTTATCCCACGTGTATGTTTTTTTTAACAGGAAATTAAACATTAAATCATTCCCCTCCCCCCATTTTTATTCACAATGGCATGATTTAAGTATCAGGCATCAGCTAAAGTTTTGTATTTCCTGGATTTGGCCAAATTGTCATGAGCTTGCTGTTTGAAGTAGCTGCAATATATTTCTACATAAACATCTATAAGGAGACAAATATACATTAAAACTTGCACAGTTATATAATCGTTTATTAACAAAATTTAAGAATTTGTTTCAACTTGAAGTATAAAAAATATGCTAGAGGCAGTGTTCTGCTGGAAAACTCGTTGAGTGTGTTTCATTTAGGATTGTTATGCAAACCAGGAAATTGTTAAGAAAGCGGAAACAAGACTTTAACTATCAGCTGCTTCAGGGAGTCAACAGGCTGTAGAATCCACAGCTTGGATTGAAAACACAGGGTCTGGGCCAGATTTTCTTTTTTAAAAAGCACATTCAAGTCACAAGCCTTCTTAAATGCGCACATACTGTTTGCAGAAACCAACCAGAAAGGACTGTAACTGGAGTAAATATTGATAGCCATAATAGTTAGAAGAACACACTCTGTTTGATTAAAATCTTTATTTTTGCCTTCAAGGAATTAGCTGCAGTAAATTCTGGTAGCACATGGATTTTTCTTACACATAGTAATTAGATGATGTTAAACCTATTTACAAACAATTTAAGTATTCTTTTTATTAACCTAAAGATCTTCATTGTGAGGGAGATAAACTAAGTCACAGAAGATGCTCCCGTTTTTTCCCCCAGTTAGCTTTCCCTAAGAAAACTAGGTATTAAATCTTCATGCTAAAGTCTTCCAGTATCTCAAATTGAACCACACTTAATGAGGGAACTGTCACGTACTTTCAGATATGACCTGAACCACCATTCTCAGCACACTGCAGTATAGAAGTTTTGACTCTGAATGATACTGTGATCTGTTTCAGAGTTTTCTTGTTCTCTTACAGCTAGAAAATAGAAGAGAAATTGTTTTTTGAAAGAATGTCTTTCATGTATTATCCCAGAGAATGTTATAGTGAGTCAGAACCTGGGGTGCAGTGACTCCTAAGGTTAGCATGTCATATACTAGCTGTTACAAATTCAGCTATAGGCAGATAGGGGTTTTTTTTTTTTATTTAATATTAAAATCTGTTCTACTGAGAGAGATTACTGACTGGGACAAGAGGCAGTTTATCCTTTTTTTGTCCCAAAATCTCACTGAGCCTATATTTTCCATTCTGATTGTCAGAGGAGACGTCTATTTATACTTGATCCAAAATACATTGAAAAAGATAAAATTGCAAGGGAACAAAATTATTATTTTTTATTTAACATAATATTTGCATTCTACATCCCCCCCCCCCCCATTTCCTTTCAGATAGTTTAAAAGGAATGCAGGTGCCTTTGTTTGCTTTACCTTTTGCCACACCATCAACATGGCAATTAATGAATTGCTTTAGTTGCAAGGCCAGTATAACAACACAGTTGAAAAAGTTCTACATAAATAGACAAAAATAATACCTAGGTTGTCATCTAACTAGTACAAACAACAGAGAGATAACTGTTACACACATTATACACACAGTAGGAAAGTAGAGCTCAAGCTTTGGGTTTGTCCAGCTACGGAAAAATAGACCTTTACTGAAGTGAAACTTATTTTGTAATATGAGCTTGTTCCATCTCTGTGAGCCAGCTACTAGAGA